TGTTAAGAAGATATGTTGCCATTTGAAGCGCGTGATGCCCAAATGAAGGAAGAACGGATGCATGAGCGAGAAGAGTGTGAAACATGTTGTTAATAATGCGTATTTTTCGTCCCAACTTTCCTCTTTGTGAGGAAGTGTGAGGGAAAGAGAAACAAAAAATGAGACCATTAGCAGCACAATAATTATGAAAAGATGTATTGTCATATTCTAGCTCATTATCACATTAAAAACATTTGACAGTTTGAGAAAGTTGTGTATGACTTTTATATGAGAGAGAAGTGAACATTTCAAAAACTTGATATTTATTGTTAGAGGAAACATCTGCAGAAAATAAAAATAAAATCATCTAAAAATAAAACGTAATAGCAATGACCAGCTGAACTCAAAACTTGGGATGTCCATGAATCACTGTGTAAATTATTGAAGGGTTTCATAGTAGTATTATTGGAGGAAACAAAAGGCAACTTAACATGTTTTCTAAAACACATAAGAAGTGAAAATTGTCCTAGAATTCAAAGGTTTATAACTAATGAACTTATAGATATGAAGAGACTGCAAAGCTGAAGAACTGAAGTTTTTGAGACAACTGTGCCAAACACTGTAAGCAAGACCAACAAACAGGTAGGAAGTGGTAACTGTATAGAGATCTCCAAGGCTATCACATATCATGAGTACAATTCTCGTATAAAAGTCATTTACCGAAAAACCAAAATGATCAAAAGAAACAAAAACATTATTGTCAGTAATGAGTTGTCGCATGATAACATGATTTTGTATCGTATTTTTAGACTCACTTTGCGCATTTTAGGTCCAAGTTTGTATCGAGTATTTTGTATTTTATTGTGTTCTTACTCTATTTTTATGTTGTCAGGTTTTCCCGTCGAGATCCTAGAAGAAATCGAGAAAAGAAGTGAAAGAGAAGAAAAATCCAGATAGAACATAAAAATCAGCAAGATATGCCAGCTTTTCTGATATAGCGCTCGCCACCTCTAAATGGCATTCGCCATCTGCCTCCTAAAGGCCACCACACATCCATAGAGACCATGGTGCTCGCCATGGGCACCACAGCGATCGCCGTACAGTTTGCAGGAGCAGTTTTAACTGCAAAATTTGGTTTTTGAGCAGTTTCTAGCAGTTTCTTTTCCCTCCAAGTCCAGAATTTGAAATGGGAGTTATACAACTGCATTATCCTCTATAAATAGACCTCTTGGAGGGTAGTTATGGGGATCCAACCCGTGTGGAAGCGCTGCTGAATTTTCTTTAGACCTTTATTCACATATTCACTTTCCAAGGCAACAATTGCTCACACCGAGGAATTGTTGCAGTAATGTACTTTATTTTTCCAATGCGCTGCTGTATACTTGGATCGAAGATTAATTAAAGTTTGTTTTTCGTTTAGTACATTGCAATTTACAGGTTCTTATTTTTCTGTTTTTACTGCATTTTATTTCTACGTGTCTGCAACTTAACTTATTTTCATAAAAACTAAAAACTAATATTTTCTTAAAATCAATTCAATATGCATGTTGTAATTTTCAGAATTGTAACATGTTAGGATTAGAATTCATTATGTCCGGCTAAATTAATTAGATACCGTCTTATGAGGACCGTCGTAACCGGCGAGACTCCGTTGTTATAATAGGTACGAAATTGCGAATGCATGTCATATTGGTTGTATTTTCTAAGTCTAATTTAAGTAGCTTTGTCACAAGAGTGAGAGGTTACTTAACATTGTTTCGTCACGAGAGTGAGAAGCAAATAAAGGTTTAAGCCGAGATCCGCGAGAGTGTGAGGAGTGAACCGAATAGTGAAAATTAGGAATCAATATCTAAATACAGCGAGAGCGCTTTATATGTTGATTAAGATATTATTGGCTTTCAAAGAGTAATTTTTAGTTACCGGGCGAGCGAGAACACAATCTTGGGATTAAGAAGTACGACTTAATTAAGACTGCGAGAGCGTGAGGCGGAGCCTTTAAGTCGGTATATCCTACAAAATAGGCGTGTAGACATAATTAGTAACCCTTTATCTACACGGTCCCTTAGGTGCACGGAAATCATATTTTGGGCCCGTTTTAGTATTATTTTCAGATCTTAGATTTCAGCCCCGTAATTAGTGTCTTCATCCCACCTTCCTTCAAATCCTTGGGGAGATCTTTTATGTTCAATTCCTGGAAGGCATATATTTTACGAACAAAGCTAATCTTCCCGCCCCTAGAAAATCCTCATGCAATTGTATTGACCGTATAGCGCACGACCTTGTCTCCCTTTTCTTTGGATTAATCCTTTCTTTTTTTTGGATCTAGAGCTTCCTTCATCATCCCACCCTAGAGAGTTAGACTCGCATAACCCTTGAGAGTGTTCACCTTTGACATACTTTTTGAGGTGCCCTTCATGGATCAACCACTCGATCTCTTTCTTGAGCTGGTAACAGTATTTTGTGTGGCACACTTTAAATTTATGGAACTTACACCATCTTCCTGGCTTAGGTCCCATAACATCTGCCTTTGGGACTGAAGGCACAAAAATATCATGCAAGTGGAGAACCTCCTGCCAAATATGTTCATAGATAATGTTCAGGGGCGTGAAGCTCTCTATCGTTTTTCCTACTTGCTTGAATACAACTTTGTCCTTAATGGTGGTGAGGCGTAATTGATCTTTCATGGATGCTACAAACCTTCATCGCTAGGTACACACTCTTTAACGCCTCATGCCTTTTACTTAGTGTTGTTTTCTTTGATTTTTACATAGCATTTCTCCCTTATGACCACCTTTACACACGAAGATGCTGGCCTTTGGGCGAGGGACTCATTGAAGTATACTAGTTTGAGACCATTTTGGAACACCCCCATGAACATTTCTTAGTTTGGGTGGACGACCCTTATAGTGGCTTCATTGAAACATGCTAATTATTCCCTCAATGACTCTGAAGGGCCTTGTCGTATGTTAAATAGGCTGGTGGTGGACATCTTCCTATGTCGATTGGTTGTGAACTAGTGCACGAGTTTCTTCACCAGCTTTTGATAGTTGGCGATTGAGGCTCGCAGTAAACCTATGTACCATCGCATGGTCACGTCTCTGAAAGTGCAAGACAACAATTTGCACTTTAGTAAGCCAGGGGCTCCGATGATGGCCATTTGTGTGTTGATGGAGGCGACATGCTCATAAGAATCACTACGCCCATCAAACTTCATAAAAAAGGGAGGCCTGAACCCTTTGGGGATATGCGTTTCCCATATTCCGTCAAAAAGCGGTTGGGAAGTTGTCCTTCAGGCTTTGATATTGGCGGTGCATTTCATATATGGCAATACGCATCTTCGCCAGGGCATTGGAATCACCGCTACCTCCGTTGTCTTACATCGTGGGACATTACGCTCTCCTAACAACCATGATTGGAAACAATTAGATAAAACAATGGAGGTTTTTAGTGAGTATCAAAGTGGTGATGGTTACGAAAGGTGTGGCTCAAGTTAGTTTAGCAGGACCACATAATGGACACCATTGTACTTGTCAAAAAGTGCGAAATGTGTGGTATTTCTACGTTGGTAGGGATGACCATATTTGGTGGTGTTTTTTTGATGATGAAAGAGCCAACTCACATGAGGTGAGAAACTCTATGACTTTTAAGTGTTGAGGTATTTATAGAGGCTTATGGACCTAGAGTTCAGAGAATTCCCAAGAAGTGGTAAATGCTTCCTCTTGATCGGGGAAACTATTGACTGCCTATTTTCTAGGAAGTCATGGACATGACTCCGCACATGCAGTCAGGGGTTGGATAAACACTATTCTCCATATTTCTCCTTAAGAAGATCCATCGTACCACGTAAAGCATAGTCTCTAGGCGACACCTCGCATGGAGGACGTCCAACGAAGGACATATGTCCCCCTATTGAGGCCCTCATAAATAAAACACTACTGAACTAAATGTAAGTTTAATAAATAAACATAAAATACATATTTACCAAAAATAATATGTAATCTTTAATAATTCAAAATAAAATATTTTTACTTCATATATACATATGACATAAAATAACACACACAAATGCTATAACATTAAGTCATTTGAATTATATAGCAATGCATCCAAAGATTAAAATTAATCTTATAGTCACTAAAAAAATATAGGCTAGACTATTCCAACCTTACACCAATTGTTGAACTAATCTAACTACTTAATTAATCTCTTAACCATTAAAATTCATATACATACATTTCAATCACGTATCAATCCAACGGTTAAAATTAATCTTTAACTCTTCAACATTAACACATAACCAATTCAACCATATATCAACTCAACTATCAAAACTAATCTCTTAACCATTAAGATTTATAGAAATCGTTTCATTCAAACATCAATTTTAAAATTAATCCAACAATCAAAGTTTATCTTTTAACTTGTCAACTTCAACACTTCAACACACTACCAATTCAATCATATATCAACCCAACCCAACGATCAAAACTAATCTCTTAACCATTAAAATTTATACGTGAGTGTTTCAATCAAACATCATTTTTAAAATTAATCCAACAATTAAAATTTATCTTTAACTTGTTAACTTCAACACAACCAAATATTAACCCGATCAAAACCAATCTCTTAACCATTAAAATTATCGGACAACCAATCCTTCTAATGAAACAATTCAATAATTTAAAATTAAGTCAACAATTAAAATTAGTTTCAACCTTAAGATTAATCCAATGACTAAGATTAAAAATTAACCCTAAACACCTAAAATAAACCCTAAATAAGAAAAACACTATAACTATAACTACACACCTATTTTTATTTTCTATAATTTTCCAACCTCTCTCTCTCTCTCTCTCTCTCTCTCTCTCTCTCTCCTCAATCACATGCATCTTCATTGCGATCGATCCTCTCCCATGGTTTAGCCACTTCCTTCAAACCTCAAATTCATCCTCACCGTCGATCTCACTCTTCAGAACTTTCTCGAAACTGAACCGAATCGCGTAGATCTCAAATTAGGTTTTATGGAAATGGCGTCAAGTCCTCGCTCCGTTGAAGAGATCTTCAAAGATTTCAGTGCTCGTAGAGATGGAATCGTTCGTGCTTTAACTCAAGGTATTCATTCAATTCAATTCGTTTCAATTCCGTTTTTTTTCACTATTTCGAAGTTTCAACTAACTAACTCATGGATTTTTTTTTGTTTTTTTTTCAGATGTTGATGAATTCTACACTCTCTGTGATCCAGGTAAACGAGAAGTTGAAGATCTGAAATTTTATTTTATTTTCTTTCGATTTTTTTGTTTTCGAATTTAATCGATTATGTGTGAATTGTAAAGTTGTTGTTACTTGTTATAAGAGTTGTGAGAGTTAAAGCTTTTATTTTCAGAGAATTTGAAGGAAAAATAAGTCAAAGTTTAACATGTCCCATGTGTTTTTTTTTTTTACTATTTATTTGTTTGTTTGTTGGTTTATATATTTTAATTATTTATTTATCTATTTTGTTTATTTATTTGGGCACGAATTCACACACATCAACTAGTTCAACTATAAAACCGTTTATCAGTTAGTAAAATAAATAGTAAATTCAGAATTATGAAGAAGGCACACCGAAAATACGACAACGACACTAACATGTACTATTTGAAAATAAAATAAAATAAATGTAGTCACAAGTGTCGGTTTTGGACTCCGACATAGATTCAGAAACAAACCATTTATCAGTGTTTCTATTTTATTCTTCTGAGGAAGATCCAGTGTATGGATTTTGATTTGGAGAATATATATTTTAGCAGATGCTGAATTAGTTGAGTTAAATTAATGCTTGAAATGCTGGTAGTTATTATGGTTTTTATTATGATAATTATGAATCTGTGTTGTTTCACTGACTTCAAAGTCTATTTGTGTTTTTTTGATTAAAGATAAGGATAACTTGTGCCTGTATGGACATTCAAATGAATCATGGGAAGTGACTCTTCCAGCAGAGGAGGTTCCACCTGAGCTTCCAGAGCCGGCTCTCGGAATCAATTTTGCAAGGGATGGCATGAACCGTAGAGATTGGCTTTCTCTTGTTGCTGTGCATAGTGATTCATGGTTGCTTTCTGTGGCTTTTTATCTTGGAGCTCGTCTTAACCGCAATGAAAGGTACTTTCTACTGTGAATAAGTATGTGGTTATTATGAAGTATGTTGATTTTGGCTTGTTATATGTAATTCACATGCTTAAGCACCATGCTAAATGTTGAAAACCGAGGCCTGCAATTGTAGTAGTTGCTGAGCTGCATCAATATCATCATTGTTATACTTTCTGATGGTGATTCTGGATAAGTTTGTATGTATGTTCCTTGGATGGGTTAAGACCAATTTTTATTTATCGTCCATAACTTACGGGTCAGGGAACTTGATAATTAACTTGAGGCCGTGTGAATGGTGACTCTTTTATAACATTTAGCTTTAATTTAGATTGAACAATTATGTTGAATAACTTGTGTGTTCTATCTCTCCCCATTAGTAGTCTCCCTCCTTATCATATTGTGTTCGGAAGGGAATTACAGGCTTCAAAGATTGTTGAGGCAAATACCTGCAACTGAGTTTGATCTATCATTTTAATGGGCTTTTTTGTTTTTGTGTTGGCTCCCTCTTTCTCTTGATGGTTCCACTGATTCATGGCAGGAAACGTTTATTTAGCTTGATCAATGAGCTTCCAACTGTGTTTGAAGTTGTAACTGATAGGAAGCCAATAAAGGACAACAAGCCCACTGTAGACAGTGGAAGCAAAGCTCGGGGCAGCACCAAGGTTAGTGTAATTGTCATTGTGTAAGGTTGTTAAATACTCAGAGCTAGCATAGGAATGCTTGTTCGATCTAAAAGTTTATAGTGAAAGTTGAGATATCAATGTTATCATATCATATCTTTCAAAGCTATTTAACTATTCTCTTATTTTTTGGTGTTTATCTGCTAAATCAAACACAAAGAAACTATACCCAAATGTTTGACTTGTTGATTCTGACGTTGCTTTGAGTACAGTCAAAACACTAAACCAGATGTGGTTTTTAAAACTGTGTTCATAATGCATCACTCATACTGTTCAACTCACATTACTTTTCTTTTTGCCTATGCAAATGATCATGAAACTTGCAAGCAGAATATACTTGGCTTGTATTTTTCAAACACTTTGATCAAGGTGTTTATTTCTTGTTATTGCGCCATTTGTACCAATACTGCATGACTATAAATTAAAGGTTTTGTAGGGTGTACTAAATCTTGTCATGTTGCTGCAATTTGATACATGTTTGTTCATTTATCTGTAGAGATCAAGTGATGGGCAGCTCAAAAGCAACCCAAAGTTAGCCGATGATCAAGGTTACGAGGAGGAAGAAGATGAGCACAGTGAAACCCTTTGCGGGAGCTGCGGTGGAAACTACAATGCGGATGAATTTTGGATTGGCTGTGATATATGCGAGAGGTGGTACCATGGTAAGTGCGTGAAGATTACTCCTGCAAAAGCTGAGAGCATAAAGCAATACAAATGCCCATCATGCAGCATGAAGAGGGGCAGGCCCTAAAAGACAACATGTGAAGTGAATAATATTGCTTTGTTGGTGCTGACAGATACCGTAATATTGCCAAATCTCCTGTAGAAATTCATTTAATGGGTATAGTTTATATATGACTAGTGGGTAAAATTTCAGATATTATAGTTAATTTCTTCTACCAAGATGGATCAATAGTTTGTGTTACAAATTTGGCTCCTCTTAGTGAGAGGGCTGGGGGTAAAATTCATGGTTATAATTATCGATTGAAAGATTTAAGTAGTTGATTTTAATTTTATGTTTTGTTGCATATATTTTCGTATAATTTTTATAGATTTTTTTTTCTTCATTTTTTTCATTTGATCTCTGGGATCCGATCCTTATTGACATTGTAATGTTCTACCAAAGGTTGATGCACACTCTTTTTGCAGGCTGCGTCTTCCATCGAATACTCACGACTCACGACTATTGAAACTTATAAAACAGGTTCACTTTATCACGAGTTATTTGGACCCGGTTCGCATAACTCATGGGCTGATATGGGTTTGAGCCGGGTTGAGTTTGCAAATCCTCATTTATTTATTTTTAAATCATTTTAACATTATAGTTTATTTATTAGGTTCTTCACTGTGAAGCTTCTCTTGAAACTGAGGATTGAGTGATCTTCTAAAGCTCCATTTTATCTTTCATTGCATTAATCTATTCATGTTAATTTTTCTGTGATTATTGTTGTAGCAAGTTAACCATTTTGATATTTTTAGAAATCTCTTTTCATTATATGCTTCATATTGATTCTTATCATATTCTTTTGATGAAATTCTCTTTTAAGGGTTATTTATTTTTAAGTGAAGGCGCGTTGTCGATGCTTAGTACTACTTTTGCTCTTTAATTTGATTCATGTTCTTACTCAAACAATCTCTAGTGCAAATGATAAATTCACAACATTCAAAATATTTAATTTTTCAAAAAGATTGTTTTTAAAACTATTGTTCAACAAGAGGGTCTTTAAATCAATAAAAAAGAAGAGAAAAACAAGCTGTGTCTTGATAAAAAATCAAATAGATAATAAAATATGATTATGATATTACAAGCAACGAGGGGTCACTTGTAAAATATCATTGTTATTTAGATAACAAGAATTAAAATGTGATTTGACATATAATTTGTCTAAGAACAATGACGATGTGTAGTCTAGTCTCTTTGTCCAGAGTATCTCAATCAAAGCACAAGACATGGAAGATGTCATGTTTATATAGTCCAATAGTTGATTTTGATGTATGTATATTATTGTTCACTTGCTGAAAATATGTTTTAAATCATATGTTGATATTTTTGGATGTAGTCACGGCTTTTGAGCGTTTTGTTTGGAACTTCTGAAATAGGAGGAAAATATTGATTGAGAAAATACACTGTCTAAATATTTTTCTTCCTTCGGTTCCATTTTCTGTAGGCCCCAACAAAAAGTAACTTTCATATTGTTAATTGAGGTTAGGGTGTGTAATCAATTTAGACTGATTTTTTATTAAAATAATATTTGAATCAATGTTATTTTGATTGGTTTGATTTGGTTTAATTTTTATAGTTTTTAAAAAATGGAATCGAATTTAATTAATCGGTTTAGTTTGATTTCGTTGATATGTTTACTATGTTCGTTTTCAAATATATTCACCGCTATCATGTTTTTGATGGAACAAAATTGATTTGTCACATATCTCTTAAGTTTTGATAATAACAAAGTATTTAAAAAATAATTGGGTATACTAATGTTTGTTCAAATGTGCAGTACCATAGAATAAAATTTCATATAAAATTTAAGTATTGTTTTTGACTCTGAACATTCAATGAGAAGCTTGAAGATCAAACATGACATATCAAAAGCTGAAAGACCGGACTCTAAAGAAGTAATCTTCTAAAGAGGTCAACGTCTGAAGATCAGAGTCTGAAGGAATCAGCCTTTGAAGAACATACTTTAGAGAAGTATGCTTCTGATGACCAGAATCTGAGCCCATCAAATCGCAAGGACCAAGGTGACATTGATAGGTTATTGTTCATCTTTGAACATACTTTGTCACGTGAAAACCTAAGATCTATCGTCTTCATGGAGTTTGCTAAGATACAACTGCTAATTCCTTTTATAGCAAAGGATTTTCAAACTAGCTTTCACCTTACCTGACAATTTGGTGAAACATTTCAACATCTCTTTTGAAGCTTATAAAAAAACTCTATTATGCTGCATTTTCAACGATTCTTTTCTTCTCTATTTAAGGAGGTAAAAGACTTGAATATACAAACACACGCATAAATGGTAATGAACAACGATTGACAACAAAAGTGAAGTTTATCCTCAATGTAATAATACAAGCTAAACATAGAATTTTTTATCCTTGTATATCTTAGAAATTCTTAAGTCTTTAAAAGTCTATTTGTTATGTATTCTTTATGCACCTCTAATTGTATATCAAGTGTATTATTTGAACAATATTTTATTTGTTAGATAAATTGTAAGAAGTCTCTTACTAAGTGTTTGAGCAAAGAAAGTCTTTATCTTGTATGCTTGATCAAGGAAGTCTCTTACTTGTGTGTTTGAGCCAATGATGTCTCTAACCTGTGTGCTAGAGCAAAAAAGTCTCTTACTTTTGTGTTTGAGACAAGAAAGTCTCTTTCTTGTGTGCTTGAGCAAATTGTAATCTTGTGTGATTATAGTAAAAATCTCTTGTAAGTACAAGGGGATTCAACTACTTTCGAGTTCCGAGAGGAACCAGAATAACTCTGTGTGTTATTCTTCTTTCTTGCATATTATATTCGTTGCTTACCTCTGACTAAATCAGATTCTATAACCTTGTGTTTAGAATATGACTTATAAATTTAAAAAGAAACAAAAAGCCAACACAATTCAACCCCCTTCTTGTGTTTTTCTCACATTCAATCTGAATGTCCCATCTCAACCAGAGATTTGCGGTTAGTATTAAAAATCATTCCAAAAAAGATCTTTTAGAGAATTAACCAAAAGACTAGCCAGAACTGACACAAATTTCCCTTCCTCATAAACATTGATAACTAATTTCGTTCGCTGCTTAGAAGAGAGAAACGCAGATGGAGATGGAAGGATTACCAGGTTAACAATTATCGTTGAGGGACTCCCCTCATCTCAAGAGACTAGGTTTTTTCGAGCAGAATTAACATGGAAATCCTTCACTAGGTATTGAGCCTAAGACTTCTTTAAGGCTTTAATTTTATCATTAAATGTCATATTATCCACCAAGAGTAAGCAAATAAACATCAACAGATCAATAAAAAAAATTAGGCATAAAAAAAAGAAACTAGAAGATCATCGAACACATCAAACAAGCTCTTAGCATAATCCTACTCCATAGATAATACTAGGGGTATTGTGTCAATATACCGGTTCCTCATATTAAAGTATTTATATTTTTTGATTGTGGGTGAATATCTAATTAAAGCCACCAATGAAGTATTGGAAGATGGCTAAACTCTCTTTCTCACCTCGAGAAAGGTCTAAAAACTTAAAAGAAATGTATATATTTTCTCAACAAAAAATATCCTAGTTCTAAACAATAGAGAAATTTAGATTCACATACTACTTTCAAGGCCCCCTTGCAACTACATATATTAGAGCGGGCCTTAGTTCTAATAGGCTTAACCACCACATAATAGAATTTAATGTTTTATAAATATTTAGTAAAAACCTCAAATAATTTTGGAGATTGTTTGAAGTGAGTTAAACCATAAGGAGGAGATTATAGTTAAACCCATCTTTCAAAATACTATGTTAAACATGTGGAGATAAGGATGATGTAACTCTTGCCATATTCTATATGTAGAGGCTGGGGTGTAATTTTCCAAGCATTAGGAAGACTTCTTAATTCAACAACTTTATAGTTCTCTAGTTCCTCCGAGTCAAATTATATTGAAGGAGTACTCAAATAAGTATTATTTACTCAAGAATAAGATTCGCATGTACCCTCGTTAAAAGAATAGGTTCAGGGAGGTATTTAATGGCCATTGTATCTACACAGACACAAAATAACATAAGTTATGAAGGAAGCAATCCTATTCACTCGCCATTTTTCCAAAGTTAGATGATAATTGAGCTAAAACTTTCACACCGCCATTAATAAACCTATTAAATATGAAGAACAAAGAAGAATGACTTATTAATAAAAAGTTATAAAGAAGTTTCCGAAGAAGAAGCGAGATGACTTTAGAAGAAAATGCAAATACTTCTAGCAAAAATAGGAAAAGAGCAAAGGAAGAAAAGTGGAAAGTGTAACCGCTTGAAGTATTTATACTCACATGAGAAGGAAAACAGAAATACAAAACCCCCACAAACTAGAAAGTAAGTAAAGGGCCAAACGTCAATCAATTAACCAATAATACATCACCAAAGGTGTTGTCATAATGATAATAACGATGACGTTCATAAAAAACTCATCATAAGAGGCCTAGCAATATGCCATCACCATTCTAGCTATATACTGACATGTGGCTGACAACTAAGAAGACATATGTTGTGAATCTTGTGAATTATGACAAAATTCAATATCAATTTGTGAGGAAAAGAATAATAGCGACCAAAATAAATGGTCTACAATAAAAATAATCAGTACACAAATAATATAATAGAATAAGGCAAGAAAAAATCGAAGGTTTATTTGTCCAATTCGATTAAACGATCTACTCTGGGGGAGAGTGTAACACCCCCTTTCTATACCCCCAAATTAATACATTTAATCAATTAGGCACTTAGAAAATTTATTTCATCAGAGTTTAATTAAAATTTAATTAAAACATGGTATATAAGAGGCACATCACATTATCACGAAATTAAACACATACGATACCTGCTCAAAATAGATATGCAACAATGGGTAACCCACATCTCAATATTTAGAATAAAAGCGGAAACATCCAAATATTGAATCGATCACATTCATAAAAGTATATACAACCATTCAATCAATTCATGCTTTACAACCATATCCACAGCGGATACATACACAGATGTATCACAA